TCAAGTGTCTTCAATGCAGGACTCAGAGTCATCCTGGGATGCATGAGGTCTACTCCCGTAAATGCACTAATGGCGGAGGCAGGAATGATGTACCTGGAATACAGAAGAAGATGGCTCGCTGTCAAATACTTGTCCAAGATCTACAGTTTCGAAAATCACCCACTTATAATAATTAAAAAAAAAAAAAAATCACAAGATGTACAATGCAAATTACTACTTTCTGCCATATGGAAGAAGGATGAAACGGAGAACTACCTTGCCATGTTTCGAAATGGAAAGGGAAGTCCAGTCAAGCTGTTTGCCGGTCATAGAACTCCATTTGGAAAAACATGGAACCAATACTATCAATAGATTCAGGGAAAGTATCGGCTCTCTGGATTGCTCATACACACAAATCTATACGGATGGCTCTAGGAAGGATGGAAAAACTGGATTTGGTATTCACTGCCCCAGCAAAAAATAAAACTTCTCTGCGAGATGCACAGCGGAGATGGTAGCCATAAATGAGAGAGTGTGCTATGCTCTCCAAAAAAACATACAAAATGCCATGCTGGCTTGGCTGGCAATGAATGCGCTGACAAAGCTTGCCAACATAGGAAGAATTCTAAATGTTCCCTCTGGAACTATCTCATATCCTTCCTCTGATCAAAGCAAAAATAAATTGCGAACATGCAGTCTCTTGGACGAAGTCACTCAATAAAAAGGAGAATTGGTACAGGCAGGTGAAAATTGAGTTTTCAATGAAAACATGATTCAAAGATCTTCAATACACACATAGACGGCATATCACGTCCATCACTAGGATGCGTACTGGTAGGGCACTGTTCGATAGGACAGCATCTTTGCAGGATAGGGGTAAAGAAGAATTCCGTACTGTGAGTATGGCCAGATTGAAAACCTGGACCACATGTTCCTGGAATGCCCTATTAATCTTTTTCATTTTTCAAAAACATTTGCACGCCGGAGGGGAAGTTACTAGTGATAAGGGATAATAACAGAATATACTAAATGAGTCCAATGGCAATAACACAAAAATAAAATCGAACAGCAATCACGCCCCGGCCATAGTTTTCTTATGATGAATAGGGCTGCGTATGGCCAGCCAATCATGGTCTGAGCGGTACGGTAGGATTAAAAAGTAGGGCTGGGGCATTTGGGGCAACAAAAGTAAAGGAACTAGTCCCCTTTCTTGACGATATAACAATTCAGAAGATAATATTATTAGAGCTGAAATTTTTGGTGTAAGGTTCACAAGAACTTATAAAAAAGTTTTTTTTTTTTCAAAATGGCAGACGGTGACCGAATTTTGGTGTCCGGCCCACCGGGCATTTGCCCGGTGTCCCGGTGGTCCCATCCGCCCCTGCTTTGGACATATACTCAGGAACAAATTTCATCATATAGAAAAGGTATTCTAACCAACACACATCTTATTCTAAATCTGCACGAGTGACTTCCGAGTTTCCACGATTTAGAATGTTTCTCCGTAGGTGATCAGAATTGAAAACTTCCCCCAGACAATGGGTTGAATTTGAGTGGCTACTTATCCTGAACAGTGCAGCCGGATAGTCTGGTTTCGGTTTTTCGTCATTTATTTTTATCAGATAGGCATCGAAAGTTTTTTAGGTATGCTTTTCCCTCTCGCCAATATCGCAGGAGAACATTCTTGAAAAAGTTCCCATCGTATCAAATTAAAATCTTTCTTGACTAAAATCTACCTATATCTAGATCCACCCAATTTGTGTTGGATTGATGATTACAATAAGGTTATTACTCTGCAGTACCTCGCGTCGGGTCATGGTGAACTGAACGAATACACTTCACACACACACACGTTTCTAAGTAGTACCATTATTTTAGATGATATAGGCTTGATAAGCCGGTCATATTGAGAAATCATCGTTGGCAGCCAATAAACGAGATTTTTTTGCGTTCCTTCCAGTTATAGGTTTTGCAAAGATGGTAATTTTTTAACAAGATGACTCATTTGTCTACATCTTTTAGACGATGATTTAATTTGAAACTTCGTCATAAAACCACGAACTATTTTATTGAAGACAATTTCAATTCTGGCAATCAACTAAACTTTAATGTATTTATTTTAAGTGAATTATTGCTTCTCTTAACTGTCAGAAATTTATTCATATGATTATGAATGCAAAGGTCAGTGCAAAAAGTGTGCAAGGACGGATTGGGTGCAGAATTTTGAAACAAATACAAACTTTAGTGCAATTTCTCAATCAAGTTCAGAATTCAGAATCATAGTCAAACTCGAAATAAATCGACAAGACCTAAAATTTCTAAAGCCATTAATTACTGGAGATATTTCGCAGATATTTCTAGCTTATACCATGTTATTTTCATAATACCAGAAAACATTTGAGTAGTTAGCTGATTCCTACTTTACGTTTTTAGATAGGTTGGTATTTTGCAGTAGCAAAACTTCAATTGAAGACTCTTCCAAAGTAAACCCTGATTACAGACGAATATTATGGCGTCAAGATCCTTTAGACAAAATTTCTCATTATGTATAATGACATCATCTTTACTGACTATAAAATCATTGCGCCAAATAGGTTAATCAAATTTCGTCGTTGACGATCTCACCTCAAATGAGAGGTGATGAAATATCAGATAGCTTAAGTTCACTAAAAAATCAGATAACAGAAATATTGGATCAAGCATGTTTTGAATTATCAACACAATGAATACAATAGTCGAATTAGCAAATATCAAGAGAATTCTATTTCAGATTTGAATTATGAAACAATACAATAAAAACAAAATTTTGGTTCACGAAATGTAAGAGCACCATACGTAAGATTATTCGTGAATGTTTTATTTGTTTCAAGCACAAACGAAGATTTTCTTCACCTCTTATGGGACAATTAGCATCAGAGATAGTTCCTTTGCGATAATTTTCATAAATTGGAATATGTTTTGCAGTTTACAGCACTTGTTCAAGTCAAGGAGGGTTCTTTGAGAAATAGATAATTAATCAAAACATACATTTGCTCCTATACCTACTTCAAACTTTTAATCAGAACAGAACAGCTGAAACACTGCATAAATGAAAGTGAAAGAACTCTACATTCTCGGCTCATTTGCTTCTTCTTTTTATACAGGGTGACTCAGAGTAAATTTCCCTTTTCGAACGCGCCCTGTACATCCAAATTAATATTTGTGGCGGGGTTAGCGCTGGTATTTGCGGCAACTGCGTGCGGATTATCAGTAAACATGAAGTAGTGGTCGAACGAAAAATGCACGTTAATGGTCGAGGAGTTTTTTAGATAGAACGATTCCTATGTCGAGGCGCAGCTATGTTTTCGTAATCGTCACAATATTCGGAGTATACATATTGCTCCGTCAAAAAACTTATTGAAATCGTGGGTTCAAAGATTCAGACAGTAGTACAGTGGCAAATCAGAAGCGTCCCGGCCAACAGAAGTCCATCAGAACGCGGAGAACATTGATATGGTGCGACGTGCGGTACCACTTTATTTGAATCTTTGAACTCACGATTTCAATAAATTTTTCGACGGAGCATCACGTATACGTCCAATATTGTAACGCTTACAAAAACGTTGCTGTGCCTCGACATAGGAATCGTTCGATCTGAAAAACTCCCCCACCATAAACGGGCGTTTTTCTTTCGACCACTGCTCCATGTTTACTGATAATCCGCACGCAGTCGCCGCAAATTGCCAGCGCTAACCCCCCTACAAATATTAAGTTGGATGTACAGGGCGCGTTCGAAAAGGGAAACTTACTCTGAGTCGACCTGTATTATCGGTTTTTTATTATACTTACCTGAAAACACCTCTTTTCCACCTGTCTCAACAATAAAGTAAAGTTGACATTTCCAGAACAGCGCACGGAAATTTTTTCACGATCTCTGTTTCCGTGCGCTGAGCAGATTAGACGTCGGTGAATATTGCATCCTTGTCATTCATTAGAAATTAAACAAAGATATCTTATTATAAATGCACCCCGAAAAATAAAAAACGATTTAAGTTCCTGTGACAACCATCATTTTACCTATGTACAGTCGTGGGCATTGAAAGTGGGACGACCGATTTTTCCTGTTGTAAAACGAACTAAACAGCTATACTTACGGCAATGATAGGGATTGTCATATGTGGCAAAAAATCCATTGTAGATAAAAGACTGATTCACCCAAAATAGCGAAAAATGACTAGACCTGTGAGTCGGGTGTCCCTCTTTCAATGCTCACTACTGTACAGGGTTATTGGTTATATATGTCACCCCCCTCTATCTTTTTTATTTGACATTTTAGAAAAAAGTGTCCCAAATAAAAGTTTTATGGTTGAAATTAAATTTTTTGAAAAACTCATTTTCGCATATACAGGGTGTTTCAGGAAAGCTGGTCATGCTCCAAATTTCTTATTTCAAATGGAATACCCTGTATATTATTGGATATTCGCATTCTACGTAAAATTCTGAGCAGATTTTATGTGATATACCCTATACCTAGGTTCAACTTTTTTGGAAATATCGACAGTTGAAAATTGATTATTTGCAACTTTGACAGGCTGTAAATCCTAAACAGTTAAGTTTAAAGCAGAACCGATCTTACATTTTTATCTTAGATTTTTATAAACTATCAGTTGACACCAATATTTGACATCAACTTTGAATTTAATCCATGATTGAAAATTCCAATTAAATTTAATCATTTTAGACATTTATAACCAATAACCCTGTACCTTTTTTCGACATTTTATTTTCTGTAAAATTCATGTCATTTTAAAAAATGGGAATTTTCTGTTTTTATCGTTTTCAGATAAGTATAATAAAAAATATCGTTCATTACACGTCCAGAAATGGATTTTTCCGTTTTTGCATGACTTCCCGTGCTCGGCTGCGCCTCACACGAGAATTTGTCACGCGCGCACGGAAAAATCCTTTTTTCTGGACTGGTAATGAAATATACTATTTCGTCGCATTGTTGACACACACTCAGTTAAAGAAAATTCACTCACCTTTTCGAATCGATGGGTGTGCGTTCTCAATGACCACGCCCGGAGTTCGGTCAGGCACCCAAGCTGGCCTTGGGGTTTGGCGATTTCCATCATTTTCAGTCACACCAACTTTGTCTAGTCCCGCTCCGAAATCGTTCTTAATCACACCCTTTTCCTGCTCTTTCGGTGGCGATTCCCGTTCTTCTTTTAGCGGGGGTGTTTCGAAGTTCGTTCGAGGTGATGGACCAGTTACACTAAGATGACTGTAATGAAAATACCGAATATTAATTTTGTAAGAAGAAATTGATGGCATAGCTTAGACAATGAATCTAGGAACTGGTTTCTAGAAAATTCAACGCTCCTACGTAGGAGTCGCTAATTTAAATCCAATGCAGTAGTAACTGTCTTCATATTATTCGTCTGGGCATAAAATAACGATTAGCAGGGGCTTTCATTTATGTCTGAAATGACATGTTACAATTCTGTTCTAGGGACCTAGCATAGAGGTGATAATCTGCTCTGCATACTTTCCATATGACTCAAAATCTCGGAGTTCCAGAGGATTGTTCAATACTGAGAGGCCAACCGCCCACAATATGGTATGGGGCAATTCAGACCACAATCCAAGAGGAACATCTCTGCTTGAATATTTGGTAAGTAACAACTTAATATATACAAATCAGGAAAATGAACCGAGAGGCGGAGAGAAGTAATTTGATATCACCAAGCCAAGCAAAACTCATGGAGGAACTCTGCCAAGAAGTTGAAAACACTTTGCAAACTGCACGCCTTCATAGAATAAAGCAAAGGTTGAAACGCCCGACGGGAAAGTATACGACTTCTGGAAAAGGAACTCTAGAGCTGTTGCACCAAGCGCACTCTCCAAGTTCAAGAATCAGTCAGCCGGAGGAGCAACTGCGAACTGAACAAGTACATAGGCCTAGGAAAGCGGAATGGGCAGTTGCAACCAAGGCAGTCACTTATGAGAAGATGAAATGAGCCATTGGCACATTTGAACCTTTCAAATATCCGGTACCAGATGGGGTTTTCCCGGCTCTGTTGCAGCTTGGTTTGGAACTGTTAGCCTCCAAGAGGATACTGATCGTGCGTTGCGTGGAGTAACGTGACATGGACATGGAGGACGGCATACGCGGTCTATATTCCAAAACCCAGATGCGCAAACTACACAGAAGCCAAGTATATCATCCAATCAGCCTAACCTCTTTCTTTCCAAAAACGCTGGAGGAAATAATTGAATGGCACATAAGAGACCTGGCACTCACAGAGAAACCTCTCCAGGAACACCAATGTGCCTATCAAACAGGCAAGTAGTGCGTACCAGCACTGCACAGTCTCATCTCCAGGGCTGAGAGTATAATTCATCTCAAAGAGATCGCTCTGTGTGCATTCATCGATATTCAAGGGGCCTTTGACAACGTCTCCTTTGCTGAGATGGTCAAAGCGGCTGAAAAACATGGCATTGACGACACCACTTGTAGGTGGATACGAAACATGCTCCAAAGCCGACAGATTCGAACCACTCTATACAGAGAGACCTTGGAGGTATCTGCAGCTCGAGGATGTCCACAGGGGGGAGTACGATCGCCTCTCCTTACTACAGCGCGTCTCAACTCGGATGGGTTCCATGCCCAAGGGTATGCAGACGACGAGGTCAGTCGTGCATGGAAGAGACACCAGTTATACAGGAGAAATTCACACACACTTAGAAGTCTGCAGAGATGGTGTGAGGAGATCAACCTCACAATAAGCGCAAAGAAAACAGCGATTCTACCATTCACCAAAAAGCGATTAGCGGAAACCTATAACAATCTGAAGATCTTGGGTAAAAGCATAAAAACTATTAATGAAGTGAAACATCCGGGCATAATCGTAGACACTAAATTGATATGGAACCAACAAATCGAGAAGATTATAAACAAAGCAAAAATGTGCCTCATGAGATGCAGGAATATGTGTGGAAAAACCTAGGGCCTGAAACCAAATGTGGTGTACTGGCAATACATCACCGTTATCAGGTCTATGATAACATACGGCGTAAGGTGGCCAAAGACTCAGAAAAAAGCGAAGTTCTGAGACTTAACCGTCTACAGAGACTGGCTAGCTTGTGCATCTAAGGAACCATGGGTAGTACTTCCACGGAGGCAATGGAAACAAGTATGGGACTAGAACCCTTAGATATCTTCATTAAGAAAGAGGTTCTCATCTTGGTCTTCAGAATGAAGCAGCTTGCTAAGGAAAACAAGGTGAGACTCCTATCGGTTCCTGGCCATTCACGGATAGAGGCGGATAGAGGGCAATGGAAAAGCAGATTGCCTGGCTGAGTGCTAAAGATGCAACGCCATTTATAGGCCCTAGGCCAAATTTTGGAATGTCGTTCCAAGTAGTAAAGTCAACTCTGGATAAATGGTCGAGAAGACAACATTTGCCCCGTTAGAATACACCTGGACAAAATCACGCAAAGGCTATAATAGCCTTATAACCTTTCAACGAAACTAACAACTGAAGTGCTACGACTTAACGCGCAGATGAAACAAGTGATAGGGCTATTGACAGGACACTGTCACTCGAGGAAGCATCAGCACAGGATGGGGATATTCCTTATGGGCCCACTGAATGCGGACTATGCTATGCGGAGAGGTAGATGAAACAGATTCCCACATTCCCACACTGTGTAAAAGATATTAGCTCTGTTCCAACCGACATGAGAACCGTTCCAGAACCAGTAATTTCCAGTTGCCCACCTATTTTTCAATAAGTTGAACCTTTATCGTACTTGAAAAATTAATTGATCGACTGAAAATTACCGTTTTAGAACGATTCTCATTTCGGTTGGAACAGAGCTACAGAATCTTTAGAGCAATACAGACCGGGGCCTGATACATGGAACAGACTCTTGTAGGGTAAAAAGGAAATTAGGGTGCACAACAAACCAACAGGCTGCAGTACATCGTAGGCCACAGCGCCTAAATCCCCCCTTCAACCTTCACTAACCCAGACCAACCAAATGTCTAAATTTGATAAGAAGAAATTAATCAAGCCTATAATCGAGGAAGGGTAAAGACTGGTTAAATGGAGTACCTATTTAATAATTACGTCCTAGGTAGACCGGATCCGCGTTTTAACTAAATAAAAAACAACCAAGCCTGAAGCTAAGGTAACTCTTGGAGAGAAGACATGTCCTGAATCAGAAGCAGCTGAAATGATTAGAAGTAAGAAAATCAACTTTCACCAAAGAAGAACATTTGAAGAGGCTGCAGAATTGTGAATATGGGAGTTGGAATTATCAAAGAGAAAAAAAATTCTATGATGTCTGAATCAAGACATATGTAGATCAGAGCTTGGGAAATCGCTTGCCTATACTACACCTTTTCCATAACTATTTCAGAATGTATCACTTGTATTTCAGATTCATCAATTCTAGTTCAGAATGCATTAATTGTATTCCAGTTGTGTAAGTTTAATTTCAGAAAGTGTTATTTGTATTTCAACTTTGTCAGTTGTAGTTCAGAAAACATCATTTTTGTTTCAGATTGGTCAGTTGTATTTCAGAAAAAGTCATTTGTATTTCAGTTTGGTCACTTATATTTCAGAAGTCGTCATTTGGGTTTCAGATTATTTATTTGTAAATCAGATATTGTAATTTGTATTTCAGAATTTGTCAAATGTATTTCAGATATTATCAATGTACATAGTGTATTAAATAAAATTTATAATGGGTCACCTATACACCTATCTTGTGTGAATTTGGGAAAATCTCCATAGATACCTGATGATTTCTGAATTACATCTGACAATTTCTGAAATGTTATTTACATTTTCTGAATTACAATCAACTAATCTGAAATACAATTGACGCTTTCCGATATAAAATTACCCAATCTGAAATACAATTGACACTTTCAGAAATAAAATAAACTAATCTGAAATACAATTGACTCTTTCCCAAATAAAATTAACTAATCCGAAATACAATTGATGCATTCCGAAATACAATTTACTAATCTCAATTTCAATTGACGCTTCCTGAAATTAAACTGACGATCTCTGAAATACATATGAAAAAGGTGTAGAAAGGAATCAATATACGATCTGAAATGAAGTTGTGAAGCGTGAAGCCCAGAAGGAAAACTACTGCTAAAGAAATTTCAAGTATATAACAAAATTGAATAGGTAGTTGTAGTTCTTACCGTGGTCTAGGTGGTTGTGGACTAGCGCTCCTGCCCAATTGCGGTAAGCTGGGCGAAGCTCTTCCTCCGGGGAACGTGGCGTTCCGTTTGTGCCGCCTCGGAAACACTGCTAAAAGTTCGGCCCACCAACGCGCATCTTCGCGACTTGCCGCTTTAACAAAAGTGACGCGGTCCGGGCTGGTGAGGGCCAAAGAATGCGGATGTCCCGTCACCTGTTCCGCCCCTGTCACTTCCATCACTTTGGTCATGTCCACGGAACCTTGTGGTATTGTGTCCGGCTGGAAAAATAAAATGGTTTACGAGTGTGATAAATATGCATCTTAATTCTTAGTACTACATTAGCCCTCAAGAGGGGGTTGATTAAAAGCTAGTCGAATATCTATCAATTTGGTAAGTTATAAACATATTACTAACTGAATGATGAATCATTACAAAAGGTATGGAGGAGGAACACTTCCCAATGAAGACACTGACAACAAACTAATGCTAATATATGAACTTCAAAAATACTCTATAGAGAATTCTTTATTTATTAAAACTTATCACTCATCATTAATCACTGCTTATCAAGTAACCTTTTACAAGAGTTTTAGAAGTAATTGTCTTTGATTAACTGAATAGCTTCCCAAACTTCAACAGGGTCTTACTTCCAACTCAGTTTGGATTTAGAGCCGAGCATGGCATAGCCACGGAACTCCTGCTATTCTTATTTACTCTGACAAGACAGAGAATATTTTTTTAAATTTTGATAGGTAAGACCAATACTTTCGATAAGTTGAATCATTATTAAGCTGCATTATCTTAGTGGTCAGTACACTACAAACTGTAGCAATGTTTCCAATAGATGTCAGCAGGTTACATTTGACGGTGTTACGTCTCTTGCAGTCCTAGCTGCAAGGGAACTTCTACTGGGCAGTATTCAGCGAACAATTTTATTTTCGATTAACATGTCTAATTTTTCAAAAGTATTCATCCCATCAATATGCAGATGTCACGTAAATCCATTTATCTTTTCCTCACCGCTTGGCATTGATAATGTCACTAATTCCATTGACAGAGACTTGAATATCACAAGCAGCATTTCCCACCTACATCATCGTTGAAGGACAACAAAACTCAACTAATCAACTTTGGGAGAGATAAACTGAAACATTGTTGTGTAAATGCTTTGCCGCTACTCTTGAATGATAACATAAGGGAAGGCATTATACCAAAGTCACTTTGTCGGTTATTGCTATAAAATGTTTTTGTTAAATCGACAATTCTTTATCTTCATAAGGATATTTTATACACAGACTTTGTTTGTGATGCCTTGGTCCTATCGTGTAATAATTTTTGTACCCGATCTATTTAAAACGGAAAGCTGTGTCTGCAAAAGTTGAACAGTCACCATAATAATAAATACTTACTTATCAACCGTACACATTTATCGGTGCAAGTTAAACGTTCATTTAGTTATACTGTGCACAGGCTTATTAATCCGTAACATCAGCATCTTTGAGGAAAATGTTTACCAGGACATAACAATATGAGATAAACTTAATGCGTAAAGATCGTTAATTGACTGCATCTAGTTGATGAAAATTCCTATCTTCAAATTTATATTTCTCGCACAGAAGTGCTAGCAGAACCATTTAGATATGTGATTTGAGAAAAGGTTCACAAGGGAAAAAAAACTAGATATAAGGTGATCATATTAATTGCGTTTATACGCAAAACTAAACTTTAATAATAATATAGAGTAGAAGGAAAGCTTTCGAAAGAAATTCCGCATTTTAATCTACTATTATGTGAAATTGAAAAGATATACCTACTTGAAAAGGGTTGCACTAAGTTTTTCATCTTTTTTTTTATGTTTTGCTCTGCTGCTAATCTTTCTATTACAGTAAATTCCTAAACTTTCCACAAATTTCAATTCTTGACCTTTATTATCATCTTTATTTCCCAGCAATGAACTCCCTGATAAATGACAAAGCCTCGGGAAGCGACACATCCCCAGCAGAAGTTTACAAAGCTCTCGGTGACCGGTGACATAGCGACAGAATCTCTGAAGCTGGCTTTCAACTTAACTCGGACTACTGGACGTCTGGACGAGTCCCGCAGGACTTTAGAAATGCTAAATTTGTGAACCTGTTCAAAATGAAGGGAGCGGATCGGCAACTATAGTCAGAGGGATCTCACTTCAGTCTATAGTCTATACAGATGGAAAGATTTATTATTATTATTATTATTATTATTATTATTAGTTACAACAGTAAGCGGTAATGACCGATGAAACTGCTGTTTCAATTTCCGTGGTTCTCTTTTGGCTTTTCAAAATATTCAGCTTGTTTATTTACAGTTCGAAGTGAATGTTCACACTAGTCAGCACTTCCCGTTGATTATCTAGTCTGTGTTTGAATGAATTAATACTTGGAGCGCTCACAGTGTTTTCCGATAATGCAATCCAATGATAGACAATTCTATTTGTCAAAAAGTTTTTAGGGGGTAGTTTTGCGTTCTTCTCCTTTTCCAGTTTTTTGCTGTGTCTTCGAAGGTGTACGTTTGCATTCGCATGGAAGATATTGAAAGTAGCGTTATAATATGGTTTTAAAATCTTGTAGGTCTCAATAAGATCTCCTCTCAAACGCCTTTCTCGTAGAGTTGTCAATTTTAGTCTTTGTAGTCTTGTAGTATAGTCTAACTCTAACTGTGATAATTTTGGTGGTATTCTTGTTATACGTCTTTGAACTTTTTCTAAAAGCTCGATGTCCTTTACAAAGTAAGGGTTCCATATTCAAGTTTTCGTCTAATATAAGTTTTATATAGTTTCAATATGGTGTCCATTGAGTGGTCTGAAATAGTTATTTATGTACCAAGGCTTGTAAGTGTTACTTTTTTGGCCGAGGATGCAGTTTGCAAGCCGAGGCCCGTAGGGCCGAGGTTTGCAAGCATTTGAGGCCAAAAAACTACACGCTACAAGTCGAGGTGCATATGATATTTTTTGTGCTACCGTACATTCAAGATAATAAATATCATGAATTTGATGGTTCACCTATTTGCTTTGTTCGCGAAGACGTTCCCAAACTGATCCTGAACGCTAAGGAAATAATCACATCATGAAAAGCCATTGATATGAAACAATATTAATGGCTTTTTATGGTGTGATTCTTACTTTAGCGTTCAGGGTTGGTTTGGGATCGTCTTCGCAAATATAACTATTAATATTATTACCTATCTGTTTATGCTAATTTCAACTTTTCGACGTCTAGGTATTTTCTATTTGTTTCAATAAAATTGTATCCTTAATTTGTTTTGGGTTTTTTATTTGGGAAGTCGAGTTTTTTTGAGACATTATTTTGACAGAGATATGAACCAAGCAATTGTCACCTTTCATATCAACACTTTTTTGGCCCGGTCAAAAAAGTAACTTTTTTGGCCCGGTCAAAAAAGTTTACTTTTTTGACCCGGACTGTAAGTGACACTTACAGTTCATGGACGTAGGTCAAAAAAGTCAACTTACAGAATGGGTAGCACAAAAATGCTTTTTGGATGCAATAAATGAACGAGTTTGCTTTTTTCACTATCCTATGAATATGTGGTTCCCATTTGAGGTCTTCGCTGATGATGATGCATAAATCACTCTGTTGATCGACGTTAAGATTGGTACCATTTATAGTCTATTTTTTTTGAAAGTTGGTATATAATCAATCATGCTCGACCAATTTTAATCTCCTAAATCCTTTGAAGAGTGAATGAACCACCTGATGCAATAAACGAAGAGGTGACAGTTTGATTATACCAGCTTTCAAAAAAATAGAGTATAGTGAATAGGGTGTAATTGTGTTGTTTATTCCAATACTGAGTACCGTGCATTTCTCTTCGTTTAGTTTCATGCTCCAGGTTTTTGCCCATTACTCTATTCTATGAACATCTTCTTGCAGCTCTTTAGACTTAGTTCTGGAGTTTGCAAACATCTTAGCGTCATCGGCAAAAAATATTATATGTGTTTTTATTTCCATTCCTAAGTCGCTGATATAAACTGAAAAGAACAGAGGACCAAGCACTGTACCTTGGGCTATCCCGCTGAGAGCCACATGTACGTCAGAGAGTATTCCATTTATTCTTGTTTTAAAAGTTCTTTTTTTCAAAAAGAAGGAAAGACAACCAAATAGAAAACCACCAATACCATAGTGGTCTATCTTATGAAGCATTTTATTGAATGGCACTTTTTCAAATGCTTTCTCAAAATCTAAGTAAAGTTTGTTTCATCAGGGTTTGTACTTGCCACCAGCATCTGCCTTCCTTGTTTAACAAATAAAAATTGACTGAAACAAATCAATACCGTCAAAAACGTTCATCGGTTCTTAAATCAAAAGTCATTAATTTCAATTTGTCAAAAAAAATTGAATGTGTCATATGAATTAATATACGACAACCCTTTTTTTTCAAGTTTCAAGGTCAAGTATGAACCCTGGTGAAACGGACCTTAGACGATGTCGGTTTGTTCATTCTTATCAAAGCTTTGTGTCCAGGTGTTCAAACAAGTTGTGAGTTTGATAATGGTTGACTTTTTTGGAAGGAATCCATGTTGATGATCTGTTATCGCCCCATTTTCAAGGAGGAATGGTGTTAATTCTTTTGTGATGACCTTCTTAAAACATTTGAAAATATTGGAAGTTAAACTTATTGGTCTATAGTTGGAAGGTAGTTGTTTATCGCCCTTTTTGTAAAGTGGGGTTACAATAGCATGTGTCCATATGTCTGGTAGTCTTCCATTCTCCATTATCTCATTCATGGCGTCTGCTAGAGGTTTGGTTATTGCTTCGTTGCATTTTTAAAGAAATACTACCAGAATGTTATCAGGACCGGGACCGGCGTCTTTCTTTAAGCAGTTAATGACCTCAGAAACCTTGTCATAGGTAAAAATGATCGAAGTTAATCTGTTGTTGGATTTTGTTGATTCAGGAAGTTTTGGGAGCTCTGGATCATCGTCTCTTGAGAAAACTCTGGTGAAATGTTGTGCAAATTTTTCTGCTATCGCGTAATTATCCGTAATTGGAGTTCCTGTGGACGGATCTTTTATAGTTATTTATGTATCAAGGGTACTAAGTAGATGATTATGCCCTGAGGGCGACAGTCTTACAAAGCCGAGGGCCTCTGGCCCGAGGGTTCGTAAGTCGCCCGAGGGTATATATATCTATTAGTACCCGTGGTGCATACAAATTTTTATGTCATACCAGTTGGTTGTGAATAATAAATACCTGGGAAAAAAGTGTCACTTCCCAAATTGTCATCA